GGTTCGAGTCCTGGACCTGGCAGCTTGCTTTCTCAATCTTTCTCTCTCTGGTCAAATTAAAATAAATGAATGAATAAATAAAATAAATAATTTAAAAGAAAAGCAAGGGGTCAGCAGGTGGTGTGGGTGGTTAAGGTGTTAGATTCCTACATGGCCAACTATGGTTCAAGTGCTGGACCTAGCAGGTTGCTTTCTCACTTTCCCTTTCTCTCTCTCTCTGTCTGTCTCTGTCTCTCTGGTCAAATTTAAAATAATAATAATAATAACAAATAAATAAAATTAAATAATTCTCTTTAAAAAAAAACTAAACTAAAAACAAAAAGTCAGACAGCAGTTGAGATTCACCAAAACTTTCAAGTAAGGGAGGATTTGGAAGTGAAAGGGAGAAGGGATGGGGAGAGATAGGAGGGACCTGTCAGTCCGGTCAGGAGACTGGTGCAGCAGGCAAGAGATGATGTAGCCAGAGTGGGTGTGGAGGTCTGAGAGAGGGGGTGGAACTGGCGTGACCCAATGCTTTTCTCCATGACAGGATGTCACAGATGATATTAAAGTTTCTGGTAAAAATAGAAATGTCCTTGAGTCAGAAAGGGAACAAGTAGAGGAAGATGAGTCCTGAGAGAAGGGGAGTGGAATTTTTGTATGGCTCTCATCTGGTCTGATCAGTGGTGAATGTGCTGGAAGGTGGGCTGCTGGGCGTGCCCTCGCTCCCCTGGCCTGGGAGGTCTGGAAGGGCCCGGGGCTGGTAGGAGCCAGGACAGCTGACTGCTCCTAGCCTGCTCATTGTTTCTGGGGTGGGTCTGGGGTCTTGGAACAGTGACACGTTTGCACAGGCCATATTCATTTCCATTCCCAGCTGTGCCTGGAGTTTGTGGTGAAGGTGCTGGATGTGGAGTTGGTTTGTGAGGCCCTGCAGGTAGGTTGCGCTGGACAGGCCTGGGAGGAGTCTGGCTTTCAGTGGAACTGGGCTCCTGGTGCCAGGAACCCGGGAGGAACCTGTGTCTGGTCTGGAACAATCCAGATACACAGGAGTGGAGTTCAAGGTGTTCACGATGAATTCTGTGCCCAGATCTATGGGATCCTGGGTACATTAGAAGGGCCAGGAGCAGGAAGAGTTGAAGGTGCTGGGGGTGTTTGCTGGTCTCTTGTTTATTTAAGGCTGGGGAATGGCTCTCAGCTGATTCCAGGGACGGGAGAGAGTAGTATGGAGTTTAGAAGCAAAGCGCAGACTCCAGGGTGGAGTCTGAAGGACATGGCATGGCCTCCAGTCCGATGGTAAGTTGATTAAGTCCACCTGCATGCGCATATGCAGCTGAAGGCCTCTATATAGTAGTAGGATTTCCCAGGAGTGCTATGAGTCTCTCCAACTACAATCAGGGTCATGTCTGCAGTGCAGTCCCAAGGTGATGTGTAGAGGACAGGCCTCTCCAACCTGACCGCTGTCATTCTGCCCCCAGGTGGCCGTAACCTTTGGCCTGGGGCCACTGCAGGAGCGTTGCATAGCCTTCATAGAGGCCCATAGCCAGGTACAGCTCCCGTCTTCCCGCCCCTAACCCCACAGCCTGTTCTGCTCCTCTCTGACCCAAACGCCAACCCGCAGGAGGTCCTTAGGACTCGCGGCTTCCTGGAGCTGTCGGCTGCCGCGCTGCTGCCCCTGCTGCGTAGCGACAAGCTCTGTGTGGACGAAGCTGAGCTGGTCCGGGCAGCTCGGAGCTGGGCGCGCGTGGGCGCGGTGAGTGGGGCGGGTCTGGGGTCTTGGAACAGGGACACTAGGGAGCACGGGAGCACGAGGTCGCCCAAGGAAGCAAGGGCCGCAGGAACCCTGAGGGCAGGCGGCGGGGCATGGGCCCCTGCTTTGCTCGGACTCAGGACTGGCGTTCGCAGGCGGTGCTGGAGCGACCTGTGGCCGAGGTGGCAGCCCCGGTGGTGCGAGAGCTGAGACTGGCCTTGTTGGCCCCGGCAGAGCTGAGCGCCCTGGAAGAACAGAATCGTCTGGAGCCGCTGATCCCGGTGCGGACGCAGGAAACCAGGCTTAGACCCTCAGCAGCCTAGACACAGAAGCGGGGTGCACAGCCCAGTCAGCGTCTTGGCGCAACTCCGCGGTGACCCGCCTTTCCCTGCAGGTGGAGCAGATCGTGGAGGCGTGGAAGTGCCACGCCCTGCGGAGAAGGGATGCGGCCCGGAGCGCTCCGTGCCGTCGCCGGAGGGGCACTCTGCCCCGGGAACACCACCGCTTTCTGGACCTGTCCTTCAAGTGACCCAATGCCAGAACCTGCGAGGAAGCCTGGCCCGGCGGGGCTGTCCCGAACTACAGCTCCCGACACGCTCGGCGCTTGGCGTGACTTCCGCTCCCGGCATGCCCGGTGAACTACTAAACCGGAAGGACCGCCTCTGCCCGGCGCAGCGCCCTGTGCGTGGGGCGTGCTGGGGCGCGTGTGCTGACGTGGCGAAGCTGGGAACTGACGGTTTCTTTCTCCTTCAGAGTGGCCCCTGGGCAATGCCGCTTGCTGGTCAACAGCGGCCCCATATATATTTGCAACTCAGCCCTTCCTTTAATTAACCGCCCTGGAGATCTCGGCCTGGATGGCCGCAGACACCCGGGGCTCCGGGCAAAGGCGGGCTCCCGATCTTTCCCAGTTCGTCCCGGGTAGTGTTTCTCATTTCTGCGGGTGTCCACGCCAGGAACCTGGGTCTCTGCCTTGCCTTATCCCTCTTTCTCACGCCTGTCTCCGGTTGCTTCTACCTTTTTTTTTTTTTTTTAAATTCATGATAGAGCGCATGTGCGTGGGGAGAAAGGGCGCACCCTCCACAGATCTACCACGGGGTTTGGTCACGCGATCCCTTCGGTTCTCCAGCTCGTGGGATCGTGGGCAACCTCGGGATTGTCAGGCATGTGGGGATTGGAACTTCGGTGGCCCCGTGCGGTGATGTGTTTTTTTGTTTGATTTTGTTTTGCTAGGTGTGGCATGTGAGCTAGGCATAAGGAGAGAGAAAATGAGAAAGCACCCCCGCCGTGGGGGATGGTGACACCACAATCCTTTCTCCTATATTTTTCTGTTTAAGTTTTGGAGGTTTTTTTGCTAGTGCACTTGTGGGAGAGACAGTGAGAAATCCCCCGGAGGATGGCCATGCTGCAATCCCTTCACCTCCTCTCCGGATTTTAGGCACCGACGCACTCCTGTCCCTCCAGTGTTTCAAGGCGCCAGGTCTGAGACTCGAACTGGGGTCGACTACATGGGAGTACAGCGATGTAACCACTACGCCATCTGCTGATCTTGAGATTTTGGACATACGTGCACATGTGCCCAAAGCACCTGGTTTTTGTGGGATCCTGATGCCTTCACCACCGCCTGGCCAGCTGCCCCTTCCGGCCTCCCTGGCCCTTTTTAATTGGCAGAGGATGCTGCTGGTGGGGGCGGTGTGTGTGTGTGTGTGTGTGTGTGTGTGTGTGTGTAAAACACTACCCTATGGGGCTTGGGCACATGGCAATACCTCTTCCATTTCTCCATCCTGCTAACTTCCAGGGTGTAAGCTGGCTTTTCTTTTTCTTTTTTTTTTTTCTGGAGAGGTTTTTGCTATAGGGTGTGTGTGCTCGCCAGGAAGACAGAGAGAGACAGAGAGACAGAAAGCGAGAAGTCATGCCTCAGGGGGGATGGCCGCGCTGCAGTCCCTGCTCCATTCTCCTCTCAGGATCTTGGGCACGCATGCACATGTGCCCGGCGTGAGTTTTAAGCCACCAGGTCCGGTACACGAACCGCGTTGACTGCGTGGGAGTCCAGCGACATAGCCATTATGCTAACTGCCAGTCCCTAGAATTATTTTTTCATATGTGGGAAAGTGACTCATCCCGTGGGCGATGGTCATACTGCAAGCCTGCAGTCCCATCTCCATTTCTCTCAGGGTTTTAGGCAGGCACATACTCTAGCGTTACTCCACTGCAGGGTCCAGAACCCAAACCAGAGCAGTTGGTCACGTGGGATCCAGCTGCCTTGACTGCTGTGCCCTGGTTGGCCTCACTTTTATTATTTTTTAATGAAATATTTTATTTAGGGGCCAGCAGGTAGTATGGTGGTTGAGGGGCTGGGCTGCCACGTGACTGCACATGGTTCGAATCCCTCACCTGGCAACTTGCTTTCTCACTCTCCCTTTCTCTGTCTCTCTCTGGTCAAAATTGAGGAATAATGATAATAAATTTTTTTAAAAAATTATTTTATTTAACTTTATTTATTTATTCATTTGACCAGAGAGGGACAAAGAGAGAGAAACAGGGAAAATGGGAGAGCAAGTCGCCAGGTCCGGGACTTGAACTGCTTTCGGCCGTGAGGGAATCCAGTGCCTTTAAACACCACATCACCTGCTGGCACCCCACACTCATTTTTAAAAAATATTTATTCATTTGTTCATTTCGATTTGACTAGAGAGGGGTAAAGAGAAAGAGAAAGCAAGCCACCAGGTCTGGGACTCGAACCATGGTCGCCATGTGGGAATCTAGTAACCACCACTCCACCTGCCGGCTCCTCACGCTCATATTTTTTTTTGCTATAGGGCGCATGCGCTCACAAGAGCAACAGAGAGAGACAGACAGAAAGCGAGAAATCACCCCCCAGGGGGAATGGCCACGCCACAATCCCTTCTCCTCCCTTCTCCTCTCAGGATCTTGGGCACGCATGTACACACGCCCGGTGTGAGTTTAAGCCGCCGGGTCCAGGACTCGAACCGCGGTCGACTACATGGGAATCAGCGACATAGCCATTACGCTAACTGCTGGTCCCGTGCTCATATTTTTTAGGAGACCTTTTCAATGTATTCTATTTTGTCAGTCTCTGATTTAGCCTATCTTGCCTTCATTCCTGTACCCTCTGGTATCCATCTCCCACACTGCAGCCAGACTGAAGATGGTCAGTCCTACCTTGCTTATTAGTATTTTTAAAATTTGCTGTAGGTGCATATGCTCACCAGAGAGAGGAGAGAGAAAGCACTCCTCCCCACCCCACCAGGGGCTGTGGCCACTCCGAAATCCCTACATTCTTCTCTCAGAATTTCAGCCATACACTGCTTTCCCAGTCCCTGTCACATAAACAATGTTCTGTAAATGTTACGGGAATGACTTTCCTTCCTAATTGAAATGCCACTTTATTTCATAAAGAATTTCACAGTTTTTTTGGGACAGGTTTTTGCTATAGGGTGCGTGCACTCGCCAGAGACAGAGACAGAAAGTGAGAAATCACCCCCCTGGGGGAATGGCCACACCACAATCCCTTCTCCATTCTCCTCTTGGGATCTTGGGCATGCAAGCAAACACACCCGACTTGAGTTTAAGCCATGTGGGACTAGAACCGTGGCTGACTACATGGGAGTCCAGCGACATAGCCATTATGCCAACTGCTGGTCCCATCCCTTTCCCTCTTTCACTGGCAAGCATACATACCCTCTGGCAAATTGAACAACAAACAAAAAGAGTAGCTTCGAATTAAACTTTGTGCATTCTGGGGCCAGCAGATGGCGTAGTGGTTAAGTCATTGGACTCCCACAGGGCTGAGGCTGAACGTGGTTCAAGTCCCAGACCCGGTGGGCTAAAAATCATGCCAGACCTGTATGCTCAAGATCCTGGTAGGAGAATGAATGGAGGAGAAGGGATTGCGGCATGGCCCTCCTCCTTAGGGGGTGATTTCTCACTTTCTCTCTGTCTCTGTCTCCCTGGCAAGTGTACACACCCAAGGCAAAAACATAAAATTAAAAAGAAAAAACGATCATGCGTTCTGGAACCTGGATGCTTGTGTTAGAATCCTACAACCACTATTTACTGTTTTTGTGATTTGAGTGAGGTCTCTTAACCTTTCCATGCCCCAGTTTCCTTATTTATAGAATGATAATGATAGACCTATTTAATAAGGTTCTTAGCAGGATAAAATGAGTTTCGTAAAGTAGAACTAAGTGGATCAGATTAAATATTATAGATGTGTTTGGAAAATATATTCATTTTGGGGCTGGCAGGTGGCCTGGTGGTTAAAGGCGCTGGACTCCCACGCAGCTGACTGCAGTTTGAGTCCTGGATCGGGTGGCTTGGTTTCTCACTTTCCCTCTCTTTTCACTCTGTTCTTCTTTGGTCAAATTTAAACAAATGAAAGTTTAAAAAAATTTAAAAATATTTATGTAGTCGGGAACCAGCAGTTAGCATAATGGCTATGTCGCTGGACTCCCACGTAGTCAACCGCGGTCTGTGTCCTGGACCTGGGGGCATAAAACTCATGCTGGGCGCGTGTGTGTGCGTGCCCAAGATCCCGAGAGGAGAATGGAGGAGAAGGGATTGCGGCGTGACCATCCCCCCTGGGGGGTGATTTCTCGCTTTCTGTCTCTCTGTCTGGCGAACGCACGCGCCCTATAGCGAAAACCTCTCCAAAAAAAGAAAAAAAAAATTATGTAGTCATGTGTTCCACAAATATTCATTGAGTGCTCATGTATTAAGACATTGGTTGAGGGTCATGGAATCCATGGGAGAACAAGTCAAGTAAACTTTATGAACGTTAAGTCTTAGATGGAGTTTACAGGGGCTGGCAGGTGGCTTGGTGGTTAAACGTGTGGGACTCCCACATGGCCAACCATGGCTCAGGTCTCTGACCTGGTCACTTACTTTCTCACTTTCCCCTACTCTCTGCCTCTCTCCTCAAATTGGAAAATAATAATAAAGCTAAAATAATTATTTTTAAAAAATGGAGTTTTGGGACCAGCAGTTAGCGTATTAGTATTAGCGTAATGGCTATCTCGCTGGACTCCCATGTAGTTGACTGTGGTTCGAGTCCTGGACCCGGTGGCTTAAACTCATGCCAGGCGCGTGTGCGCGCGCCCTTGAGTCCAAGATCCTGAGAGGAGAAAGGGTTGTGATGTGGCCATCCTCCCCGGGGGGTGATTTCTTGCTTTCAGTCTCTCTGTCTTTCTCTCGCGAGTGCACGCACCCTGTAACAAAAACCTCTCCCCCCCCCACCAAAAAAAAAAAAGTTTATAGGAGCCAGCAGGTGGTCTAGTGGTTAGGGATCTGGGATTCTACAGGAGGAAGTGGGGAAACTATGGCTACAATTTCTTGCCTTCAGTCTCTCTGGGAAATGCACAGCCCCTTATATACAGAAAATTTCTAAAATAAAGAAAACTACATGGACTTTAACACAGAAAGTAACACGGTAGACTTTTGTACAAACAAAACACACACTTTCAAGATACCTATTTTTAGCACTGTAATTATGTAGCCCTGGCAAGACCAAGGCCTCAAAAAATTGGGTAAAGACTCAGAATTGTTCCTCTCCACGGAAATCTTTAGTAAAAGGCGAAAGATTTATGCGATCTGAAGAGAAACCAGAGTATACCTGTGGAGCACCGTTTAGGACTGCCCAAGGGAGGGAGTACTCATAGCGCTTACGGTGGCTGACCTCCCGCGCGGTGCCACCTCCTGCGTGGAGGCTTCGAGAACGGGAGCGTCCCGCAGGCACTGAGCCCCTCGGCCGTGCGCGATCCCGCGGGGCTGGCTGGAGCCCCGGGAAGCGGCTTTCCGCGGTGCACCACGGGTATGCAAATCGCCGGCGCCGGGCGGGTCCGGGACGCCGCTGCTGGGATGCTGCGCTCCCGCCGCGTCCGCGGCTCTCGCTGCTCTTTCCTGCGATCTGTCTGAGACCTGAGCTCCGTTTGCTCAGAGTGGTGTGGACGTTTCCTACCGGTGCCTGGTGCGGAGTGCCTTACGGGGCTGGGACTGGTAAGCGTTACTCCTGTCGTTCTTTACCCGCAGGGGAGTCCCCAGCGGAGACCCGCGAGACAGAAGCGAAAACTGCCAGGCACACTCGAAGGCAGGGCACGCCACACCCCTCTTGGAGGAGGTCGCACCCAGATCATCTTGGACAATGATTTGATTAGGTCAAAGGTGGGAGGGTGCTCTAAGGAGAGGGAATGGTACCCGAAGTTACAGGGGCGAAGACCAGTAGGAATTCGGTCAGAGGGCGCAGTGAATTTGGCGGGGTCGCCATGTGGGGCTTGGGTGGTGGAAGGGACTGGATCTAGTCGCTCCTGGCAAGAGCTTTTAAAGTCTTCAGAGGGGAGCCGTGAAGGGTGTTGAAGTCGGAGGGCCGAGTAGTGCGGGGGCCACACGGGTGGGCTGCCTTGAGAGCAGTTCTGGACATAGTCCCTGAAACCGGAAGAGGTCAGTGCCCAAGGCTAACCATCTGCCCCAATGGAGCGGAATCCCTTTCCTTAGCTTCTGCCACCAGGACACTTCCACGTTTCAGGATTGTTCACTAAGGATGCCACCAGAGTAAGCTCTCTAGCAAGCTGACTTCTGTTCAAGCCGCAGAAATAAGCAGCACCTGAGATGGTGGGTCGTGACACCCTTGGCGCTAACCTTCCTGCTTCACAGGTGAAAATGCTGTGGCTCAGTGGGGTCAGCTAACCTGCAGGTAATCAGCTCCTAAGTGCCAAAGGAGCCTGATCTTGTCTGTGCTGTTTTGGCCCCAAGGTCCCCCATAATGACCCAAACGCCAGTGGACTCAAATCTCCAGCCTCCATCCCTCGGTGTGTGTATTCTAAGGTCTAAGCCAGCTTCCTCTTGGATGCATTTTACTGTTGATTGAGCCTGGCCTTCGTCCTGGGTGCAGGGTGAGAAGGCAGCGTTCTGGGGGCAGGATCATTCCTGGTGAGTAGGTGGTTGGAATATCCTGGGTGTGTATGTCTCTCAGTTGAGACTGAGCCCAGGGATAGTTGGCAAAGGACTATAAAAGATGTCCCACCCCATTAGGTGAGGCTCTGTGCTCCAGCCCAGGGGCATGGCCAGACTGCTCAAGGTCTCTGCACAGTAGGGCCCTTCAACCTTCACAGAACCAAAAGCTTAAACACGGTGTCCTCACTGGCTGCTAAATTTCTGAACAGCCCCCCCCATCAGGCTGACTGCAAACCCAGAAACCTTTGCCTTGCAGGTTGCTCTGGGCCCTGGCTTCCTTCCCATGTGCACACCTCCTACATTATCTCCCTAGGCCCTGCTGTCCTGTGTCTGCTTCAGCTGGCCACTGTCCGATCTGCTTGCATGTCCCCTCCCTGCTGCATGGCTTAGCCCCTCTGCCCATACCCCCTGTCAGACCAAACCAGAAGGTGGGAGATGAGTCTGGAGAGGTGGGCAGGGCTGCCACACAGCAGGGCGTAACACCAAAAAACTGTATCATTTTGTGTACTAAAGCACTTAGTCCGGATCCTGGTGCAAATATATGACAGGAATTCAGAATCTGGGGTCTTTCCCACTCAGAACTAGAGAGAAGCACCCCACAAGTCACCTCTAATGTCTGATCTTCATTTGCAGACTCCTAACGCTGTCCAAAGCAAAGCACTAAAGTCCTTCAAAATGCGTTCATATAGAATATATTTCATTCTTTAAAAATAAAACTTTCAGCATAGCTAACATCGATATGTACTACAAAAATAAACATCTTCATATAAATAACTTAGGTGGAGGAGGTGAGCAAGGATTCAGAGTGCCTCCCAGAAGCCACGCAGCATTGGGGGCCAGGACTGGCAAGCCGTGGGAGAGGACCCTCAGGCTGTGTGTGCTGGGCAGCAGCAGTGTGGACAGGACTTGGGGCAGGGCTGCGCTGCAGTGCTGGGCTTTCGGCCCCACCAGAACACAGACCCAGGCACACATGGCTCAGCATGCCGTGCTGCTGACACGCTAGCCAGTGGCTGCTCTGTGTGGGTCTCAGGGAGTTGTTTGATGGCTGAGTTGGGGAAGATGTGACAGCAGCCGCAGCAGGGTCCTTTGGTACCCCACCCGTTGCTTCCCAGTGACTTCATGGGGCCCGAGCGGGTTCTGATCACCAGCTTTCACGCAGTGGCTGGACATGGTCCTCTAGCACTGAGGTTGTCAGAGCCGTTGGCAGCTAGGGTGATGGCAGAGGACCAGGTGGGCTCATCGGAGGCTGAGTGGACATAGGCACCAGGCAGCGGGGGTGGGGAGAGGGCCACCGTCATGGAGGTAGTCACTCTGGCGAAGCTCTGGGGCGGGGTGGGAGCCACGCCCCACCTGAGCCCACCTCTCCGTGCAGCCGGGGGGCTCTCCTTGTACGACTGTACCTCCTGGAGGGAGACACCAGCCCCAAGGACCTCTGGGCTCTCCTTGTACAACTGTACCTCCTGGAGGGAGACACCAGCCCCAGTGAGTTCCAGGGCTTCTGGGGCTGCAGTCCCCTTTGGCACTGGAGGCTGGAGTCCTTGTCAGCCTCCAGCAGCAGATAGGAGAGCTGACAGGGTGTTGAGGCCTGGGGTAAACCCTACACCTTGCTCTGAATCTAGAAAGGTTCAGGTGGGTCCTTTGAAGAAGCCAGGAGGGCAGAAAGGCAGGGAGGGGCATGATGTCTGAGGAAAGGTGGCACCTTTTGGGGAAGGCCCTTGTGAGCTGAACCCTGCATCCAGGCCATGGAAGGCATTTTGTCCTGACTCTCTCACTTCCCTTGCCTGTTCCCACCCTGTCCCCTAGGCTGGCTGTGGTCACCTCTGGCGGGGGTCCCAGGATGGACAGCAGCACAGGCAACAGCACGAGTCCATGGAGGAGGCCCAGGAGTGTGAGCACTGTCAGCACCACAAAGAAGTACCTGGGGGGAGTGGGGGTCGGTCTGGTGGCAAGGCCAGCGGGTGGGCCCCACCTCCTGGCCCCAGCACCACCTACCTGACTATGAAGTCAAAGTTGGAACCAGCGAGCATGAGCAGACCCAGCAACGTGGAGACAGCTCCGTCGGTCACGGGGGCAAACGTGTGCTCGAGGGCACGGGCAGCCCGCAAGTTCCGGCTCCCCTGGGTGGTCAGGAAGCCCTGGGGGAACACAGTGGTCCTGGAGGTGCTTCTCTGCCAGCCAGGGCCAGTTCATCCATGTCCCCAGCTGCTACTCAGATGAGTCCCCTCAGGTGACCAGGCTCACCCATGCCGTGGTCCCCAGGAGAGGTGAACTGAGTTCATGGAGATGGCCCAGGAAAGATGCATGACTTCATTTAGTCAGGTGACACTGTGTACGTGTGTCTGCTGAGGGTGGACACAGGGATGTCCAGGATAGAGTGGGCAAACTACAGCCTGTCGCTTGTTTTGTAAATAAAGTTCTGTTGAAATAGAGCTATGCTGTCTGTGGCTGCTTTTGTGCTATAGCAGTCTACGGCCCACCACGACTGAAGCGAACTCCCTGCCCCTTTACAGAAAGTTTGTCGGCCCCTGGTCTAGAAGGATGGGTGCCAAAGTGATACGTTATTTCTCAGGGTGCTGTTTCAGAGCATTTTTTCCTTTTTTTTTAAATTTATTTTGAATTTTATTTATTATTATTCTTACATTTTGACCAGAGAGAGACAGAGAAAAAGAAAGTGAGAAAGCAAGCCGCCAGGTTTGGGACTTGAACCATGGTAGGCCATGTGGGAATCCAGCACCTCAACCACCACGCCACCTGCAGGCCCCTCAGAAGATTTCTAATTAAAAAAAAAAATTGCTATAGGATGCTTGTGCTCATATGCTCACCGGAGAGAGAAAGAGACAGGAGAGAGAGAGAAAGTGAGAAAGCACTTTGCCGGGGAGATTCTGGGCATGCCTGCCTGCTACTGGGTCCAAGACTGAACTGTGCAGCTGGCTGCGTGGGGTCCAACTGCCTCAGCCATGCCATCGGCTGATCTGAGTTCTAATTTTTGGTACTTTTCTGCACGCTTATTTCCCCCCCGAAAAGCATGTGTTATTTTTACAGTTAGATGAATACATGGTGGTTCAGGCAGTGGGGCACCGCCGTATAATCTAGAGCCATATTGCAAGGCTGTGGATTCAGATCCCTCGACCACCCATATGCTGGGCGTTTCTGTTATCTGCAGAGCTAGGGGTGGACCACAGTATGGAAAGACCCTGTCAAGGGTACCTGTCCCTCCCAAGAAGTAAACTTAAAAAAAAAAAAAAGGGAGGGGGAGGGTCAGCCTATGGCCTGGTGGTTAAGGGAGCTGAGTCCCACAGGCCAGCTGTGTGGGTCCAGTCCCAGTCCTGGTGGCTTGAACATGCTGTGGGTGTGTGCGCATGGGTGCACATAATCCCGACAGGATGGAGAAGTGGAGAAGGGACTGTGGCATGACCACACCCTATGGGGGGTGCTTTCTCCCTCTCCTCGCTCTTTCTTTGGACAGTGCATGCTTTATTTAATAATCAGTAATACGGCGACTGGGGAGAGAAAAGAAGGGACATTTGTGGAGTCTGGCCAGGTTTGCGCTGGTGCTTTGTGGTACCTTCCCGCCCCGCCCCTGCCATTGCCTCTGCAGAGGACGCAGCTCTGAGACAGGCCTGCGCCCTCTTCAGGCCTGGTACCCCTGTCTGGGTGGAGTCCCTCCCTTAAGCCCACATTGCCACCTCACCTGCTGCCATCCCATTTCTTTGACCCCTTTCACAGTAAAGTCAGTCATAGGAAAGGATGCCTCCCATTTTCTCACCTTGCAGTCTGTCCTCACCCCATCTAGTCAGGCCGTTGTCCCCCCTCCCTCCTGAAATGGCTGTTTATTTGTGTACACATTTGTTATCTCTCTCCTAACGTATAAGGAGGCCAAGACTGTGCTTAATTTATTCCCAGTTCTTACACAGTCCTACACAGAAAGTACTCCCTCTGCTTTTTCTGGGTTTTTGCTATAGGGTGCATGTGCTCTCCAGAAAGACAGAGAGAGAGAGACAGAAAATGAGAAATCACCCCCCAGGGAGATGGCCACCCCACAATCCCTTCTCCTCCATTCTCCTCTAGGGATCTTGAGCATGCACACACACGTGCCCGGCGTGAGATTAAGCCACCAGATCTGGGACTTGAACTGTGGTCGACTACATGGGAGTCCAGCAATATAGCCATTACGCCAACGGCTGGTCCTGAGAAAGTACTCCCTGCTGACCTTGATGAATACCGAATCAGCTGACCTGCCCTTCCCCCAGGGGCCTGGGCTCACCAGAGCCACGTGGACTGTGAACTCGACACCAATGCCTACTGAAGCCACGAGGATCACCACAGGAATGGCGCTCAGCTTGATGCCCAGGAACCCCATGATACCGAAGAGCTCCACGGTCATCATCGTCAGGACCAGCACCTGGGGGAGGCAGGACTCACCCAGTGCCCTGGCGGGGGGCATGCCGCTGGTCTCTCCACTCCCACCCCTGCAGGTACTCACCACGAGGCCAGCCGTCCAGGGACTGAGCAGCAGCAGGGCACAGACGAGGAACGTGCACACGAGCAGGATGCAGATGGCCAGCAGGAAGCAGCGCCGCAGGCCCAGGTACTGCTCCCAGAAGAGGAAGGGGGAGCCACTGGGGTAGGCATGCACCCCGGCCTGGCTGGCCTCTGCGCACGCTGCCCGGGCCCCCTCGATGGCCTCCACAAAGTCTGCTGTCTTCTGGAGGCCGTGCAGCAGGAAGGGGAACTGGGCAAACTCCAGAGGCTGGGCCGCTGGGACTGCGGAGGGGCAGGGAGAGCAGTGGGGGTGGGGGGTGGTGAGCACGGCCACAGTGGGCAGGGGCTGAGGGGGCTGAGCCTCTCGCCATGCTCCCCCCAGGACTCACTGCGCAGGTTCTCCCCGGTGGCGTCGTACTTGTCGTGCAACCACTCAGGAGGCGGCGGGTAGAAGTTAGCCTGTGAGGCTGCCAGACCCATAGGGTCGCTGCTCACCCACATGGTCAGCCCCACGTAGAAGAGCTCGGGTGGAATCAGTCCCTCTGTGTCCACTAGCTTCCTTGAGGTCAGCTGCAGAGGCAGAGTGCGCTGAAGGCTAGGCCCGTGAGGCCTGGAGCCTGTCTGTGCTCCCCAGTCACTCCAGTCCTTCCCCGACCTGGCTGAAATCCAAGGGTTCCTGAGCATCCCCAGTCTGGATGAGCAGCTTGTAGGCAAGGGCCCCGTCCTCAGAACCATTGCGGTACGAATGGTGGGTGATGCGCCCAGAAGCCCAGTCTTGGTCAAAGGCAGCCTGGATTCCTGGGGGAGCAGAGGACTAGTTAGCCTGTGGCCCCAGAAATTCTCCCTGCAGCACCCCTCCCTGCTGGTCCCCTTGCCTCACCCTGTAGCCAGTCGCGGTAATAGTGCAGCCAGGTGCGGGGTGCCTGGGTGGCAGGCGGGGGCAGCACGGCCTTGAGGGAACTGAAGCGCTGGTGCAGATCAAAGAGGGCGCGTTGGGAGTAGGCGTAGTCAAAGCCACCCTGGGTCACCAGGGCCACCTCATACAAGGAGAAGTACCTGAGCTGGGCACTCAGGAAGGCATGCTCCTTGGTGCCCTGAGGCACCACATCGGTCAGGGCCAGCCCGTCCTGTACCAAGGTGGCTCCATAGAGGCTTAGGCCCACAAGAGCCCCAAAGAGCACCAGCACCATGACCTATGGGAAACGAAGGTGCGCTGAAGGCTCAGGGCTGCCCTCCTACCCTCGGGGTGCTCTGGGCCCTTTGCCCTCTTGGGGCCCGGAGACACAAACCCTCAGTCCTTGACTATGCCTTACCTTGATATGGGATTGGAGCAGCAGGGGTGCAAACTGGTAGCGGGCGAAATGGGCAAGATTCCAGTGAGCACAGGGTGGAGACTTGCAGGCTGTCTTCTGCCTGGTGCTTTCCTCCTGGCCTAGAAGGTCTCGTGTGGACCCTCCAGGGCTGAAGAGCTCAGAGCCCGGTGGGTCAGAGGCCGGGGCAACCAGGTGGGTTTGGGGAGGTAGGATGGTGACCACATGCTGGGTGCTGGCTTCACAGTGGGTAAAGGCTTGAACCGTGGCGGTCAGGTGGGTGATGCCCACTGGTACTGTCCCATCCCCCAGCTCCTGGGGCAGAAGCTGAATCACTCGGGCAGAGCAGGGGCTGGAAGAGGCAGAGAATGGATGACAGGTCTCTGCCTTGACATGCTGATGAGGGGACAAACTGGGATGAGCTCAAGCGGGAAGTGGGCAGGGCACAGGGCACAGGGACGGCACCTGGAGAAGCAGCAGAGAACATCGAGGCGCTGGCAGTGGCGCCGGCGCAGATCCAGGCTGAGGACAGCTGGGAAGACAAGCATGACAGCTGCGAAGTTGCAGCCAACCACTATGGCCGCCTGGGGAGGGGACAGGGGTACAAAGGCTGGGTGAAGCGTGCCTCCAGCTCCACTCCCCTCACAGCCTCCCTGTGCGCGAGGCCTCACCTGCAAGGAGAAGGCCCTCAGTGCAGGGATGGGAACGAGGGCGGCCATGAAGAAGGCGACCATGTTGTTGATGGAGGTGAGTGTGACACTGGTGCCTGTGCGCTGCAGACACTCCCCCGTGCGCTCCTGCCAGGACAGAGCAGGGACATGCCCTCAAGTTACAGGAGAGGGGGCCAGGGCCTTCAGGATAGAGTCAAGGGGAGGCTGGAGAACTCGGATGGCAACAGTAACACTGCAGGGGATATTGGGACCACTGATGTGTCACTGTGTCATGTGTTCTAAGCTTTCAGCCTCAACGACCTCACTGGTTCTCAGGATAGTCCTTAGGACATGAGCACTGTTACTACCCCATAGGACACGAGGACTGTTACTACCCCATAGGACACGAGCACTGTTACTACCCCATAGGACACGAGCACTGTTACTACCCCATAGGACACGAGGACTGTTACTACCCCATAGGACACGAGCAGTTACTACCCCATAGGACACGAGCAGTTACTACCCCATCTCAGTGCAGGGATGGGAACGAGGGCGGCCATGAAGAAGGCGACCATGTTGTTGATGGAGGTGAGTGTGACACTGGTGCCTGTGCGCTGCAGACACTCCCCCGTGCGCTCCTGCCAGGACAGAGCAGGGACATGCCCTCAAGTTACAGGAGAGGGGGCCAGGGCCTTCAGGATAGAGTCAAGGGGAGGCTGGAGAACTCGGATGGCAACAGTAACACTGCAGGGGATATTGGGACCACTGATGTGTCACTGTGTCATGTGTTCTAAGCTTTCAGCCTCAACGACCTCACTGGTTCTCAGGATAGTCCTTAGGACATGAGCACTGTTACTACCCCATAGGACACGAGGACTGTTACTACCCCATAGGACACGAGGACTGTTACTACCCCATAGGACACGAGGACTGTTACTACCCCATAGGACACGAGGACTGTTACTACCCCATAGGACGAGGACTGTTACTACCCCATAGGACACGAGCAGTTACTACCCCATAGGACACGAGCAGTTACTACCCCATTTACAGATAGAGAAACCAAGGCACAGAGAGACTAATTAGTAGCCCAAAGTCACTCAAACCAAGTGGCTTTTTATTTAAAAGCTTTGCTATAGGACGTGTGCACTTGCCACAGACAGAAAGTGAGAGGGCACCCTCCAGGAAGGATGGCAATCCCTCCTCCTCCACTCTCCTCAGGACTTTGGGCATGCACACCCACCTGCCCGGTGTGTTTCTCATGCTACTGGATCTGGGACTCTAGCTGCAGTCGGCCATGTGGGATTCAGCTGCCTTAACCACCATGCCATGGGCTGGCCCCCCACCAGGCTCTTAAATACTCTGAATTGCCTCAGGTGTGCAAGCCCAGCCTGGAGCACAAGCCTCACCTGCAGAGGGGTGCCAGGGGGAGCCTCTGTGAAGGCATGTGCCAACAGGAATATGTCATCCACGCCAATTCCCAGCGCCAAGAAGGGCAGCACCTGGAGGACAGAGGGGCGGGCAGCTGGAGGACCCGTGTAGCCTGGGGTAGGCACTGGAGTCCGGCCTGCAGTCCTGGCATACCTGAGTAGTGGCAGCATTGAAGGTGATGCCAAGCAGGGCACAGAGCCCAAGGCCTGAGGCCACTGCCAGGGCCACCAACAGCACCCCAGCAAGGCCCACAGCGCCCTGTGACTGGGCGCAGTCCCACCGCAGCATCGTCACGCAGGCGTAGGCTAGCTGTGGGGAGAGAGGACATGGTCTCAGACAGGGGCTCCCAGGGTGGCCGCTGTGAAGAGGTGGGGGCCCGTGCCAGGAGCTGCACTTACCATGAGCAGGTAGCCTCCCGCCACTCGGGCAGCACTGACTTGAGAGAAGGCGTGCAGGATGTCATCCAGGGTGGTGGAGGAGAAGGCGTGGACTTGCTGGGACGCGTTCTCAGGCAGGGCCTCCTGAGCCAGCTGGAGAGACAGGGTGGGTCTGAGGGGGCGGAGGAGCAGCAGCTGCAGGGTACACCTGGCCTTGCCCACACTGACCTGCACGAAGCGTCGCTGCCAGGCCTGCAGCACCGTGCCAGCCTGCTCCTCGCTCCAGCCAATGTCATGTGTCTGGTAGTCACCCCGGAAGTGCTCATACAGCTGGCGGGGACTCATTAGCAGGAAGGTGCTCTGCAGGGCCTCTGCCCTGGGGAGGGTGCAGGAGAACTAGGGATCAGAGCTGGCAACACACCCTGTCGGGAGGTGCAGGGAGCTTTTGCCCGAGCAGCCTGGTATTAGAGTATATTCCCACACCTGGACCCCCTTGTTCACTCTCCGGGGAGGCCATACCTCAGCAGCTGTCCTTGGGAGTCTCTGGCTATGCCTCCCAGCAACAATTCCTCCTGCCAGTGCATAAACTTGTGGGAGAAGCCATGGCAGCCCCCACTCAGTTCCTGAGCCACATTGGGAGCCTGGAGGAGGGAAGGGAAAGGGTTTCACATCCAAGGACCTGGTTGTCCCTGGGCTTGCACCTTCAGGAACCACACCTGCCACACAGCTCAGCAAACCTCCTGAGCCTCTTGCCTGCTCTGTTAGCGTGAACAGCTAGGCCCTGCAGACAGGAGGCCACAAGAGGAGCAGAGGCCTGAAAATAGGCTGCTGGGAGGGGCAGGCCTCACTGTGGTGTTTTGGAAAAAGCACCACTTTCATAGGGCACAGGATAGTTGGGACACTAGACATGACAGTCGTGCTTAGCTATTTTGTTTTTCGTTTCCATGTACACATCTATTTTGATAAAGTCCAGTTTCGTGCTTAGAAAAGGAAAAAAGGGATTTATATGCCACTTGAGAGTTCCTTAGGAGAACTGAACAGGAACGGAGACTCTAGCACAGAATGGGGGCGGGGTACTAATGTCCAGAGCCCAGAGCATCATCGGCTCACTCTCAGAACAGAGGAACAGGCAGGGGAGAAAGGGAAGGGGCACAGCCTTTACCTGGCAGACCTGGTTGGAACCCACCTGCCTGCTGTGACGATTGGGGGCACTAGGTGGGCAATGCAGGTCGTCGGGGTGCAGACAGGGGCGTCCCACGTAGGCCTGGCCCACCTGTGCCTTGGCTAGTAGCTCCCGGAAGCCCTCAAGGGTGGCAAAGGGGCCCAGCTCCTCTAGCAGCTGCTGTGGGTCCAGGTTGGTCCACTGGATATCTGGGCGACCCCTGGGGGAAAGGCCATGGTTGGTGAGGGTCAGGACCCCCACCGCATCCCCCCTCTGCTATCCCTACCCTAGGGAGGGCGTGTGAGGCTCACACCAGGTTGCTGCGGTGAGCTGTGGATGGACACAAGGGACTGGGGGACATGGGTGGACAGACATAACACATGGAAAGGAGCCAGAACGCCCCCCAAGTCCCTATCAAGCCATCTACCTTGTTTCTAATATAGAACCACGTGGCTTGCCCGTAACGGTTTTCTCTCTGGCCTAGCAACAGCTTAGCTGGTACTCAGTTAATCCCCTCTAGCAAAATCTCTTTCTGGGGAGCCTTTCTGTCTTTTGCTCAGATCTTACAGATCTTCGTGTTTTGTGCTCAGACAGGTCTTCCTTGCTTTCAGAGACGAGAAGGGGTGTGTGGGGAGAGCCTTGGGGCAGCCCATGCTCTGACTCTGGCCAGGGAAGTAGTTCAGACCTTGGTGAGGTTTTGATGAGCCTCTTTTTTCCCCACCCCTTCAGTCCTCCCTCCTGCTGGGGCAGCCCCTGAGCGGTGGGTGAAGCGGTGGGTGAAGCAGTGGGTGGAGGCACTCACGGCAAGTAGGCAGAGCCCCCTTGGAGTTTGGCTCCCTCCCAGAAGCAGTCGAGGGGAGTGAGGATCACACACGGAAACAGCTTCTCAATCATCTGCCAGGGACACCCCAGGCCACATCAGTCCTGTCCCTTAGCTCCTTTCCCCCTGGCTTTTGTAGGCTGCCCTCTGCAATTGCCCCGACCTTCGCCTTCTGGAGTCTCTGAGCCTCCCCCGCCTCTCCCTGCCTCGGGGAACAGCTCAGGGTCCTCACCCGCTCAATCATTCCATTTTCAATAAGGGGAACTCCTGACTTGTAGCAGATTTTGTTCAAATCCCAGGACCTGCAACAGCCAGGGGGCAGGTCAGTAGAAGAGGGGATTCCCACTGCAGAACTGCCCCAGCACACCTCGCCCGGCTGCTCAGGGGTTCAGTCAGACTCACTTTCCGTAGAGCGATACTTGCACTTTGCTGGCAGTGAGGGCTGCCTGGAGGTGGAGGCTAAGTGCCTCAGGTGTGAGGATGTTCTCCCCCTGCTGGCGTGCAGTCTGTATCAGCATCTGGGAGGTGTACGCAGCTTCCTCCCCCAGCTTCTCCTTGGTGTAATGCAGCTCCTGGCTCACCCGGCTGCCCACTGCCAGGGCAGAGAGAGAAAGCTGGAGGGGACGATCCCGGCGGATGTAGTCACCCCTGTGGCCTCCTCAGCGAGTGAAAGAAATACTGCTAGAGGAGCCCCCATCTTCAGCCAAACCCTTCTAGAATCTGGAGCCCTGCCAGGGAAGCAGCATTGCCTCCATTGCGTGGCTCCACCGACTTCCTGTGTGGTCTGGGGTTTAAGCATGAACAGGCTGGTTGGGTTTGGGACAAAAACCTGTGCATGCAAATCAGCATGAACTGGGCCTGGGTTGTGGTTATGGGGCACCCTGGGAGGGAAGCCCACTCAGGCCCTCTGCTTCTGTTGGGAGGACAAGGACAGCAGAGGCCAATAAGGATGGGCTCCTAAAATAACAGGTCTGGGGAACCAGCAGTTAGCGTAATGGCTATGTCGCTGGACTCCCACGTAGTCGACCGCGGTTTGCGTCCCGGACCCGGTGGCTTAAAACCCATGCCGGGCGTGTGTGCGTGCGTGCCCAAGATCCCGAGAGGAGAATGGAGGAGAAGGGATTGTGGCGTGGCCATCCCCTCTGGGGGGTGATTTCTCACTTTCTGTCTCTCTCTGTCTCTCTCTCTCTAAAACCCCCAAAAAAAAAAAAAAAAAAAGAACAGGTCTGGGCTGCTTCCCAGAGCAGGTGGCCCCTGGCAGTGGTTTGTATGCACACACCTCTCTGCGGACCTCTTAGAAGACAGGATAAGACTGTGGGTGATAAGGGGAGGGGGAGAAGAGACATTCTTCCCCATGCTCCCACTC